GCCCTAAATTCTAAACCTCAAAGGCCCCTAAACCCCTAACCCCTAAACCCTAAGACCCTAAACCATAAACCCCTAAACCCTAAACCCCTAAGACCCTAAACCCTAAACCCTAAACCCCTAACCCCGAAGCCCCTAAGACCCTAAACCCTAAACCCCTGAGACCCTAAACCCCTAAACCCTAAGACCCTAAACCCCTAAACCCTAAGACCCTAAACCCTAAACCCTAAGACCCTAAACCCCTAAACCCTAAGACCCCAAACCCCTAAACCCTAAACCCAAAGCCCCTAAAACCTTAAACCCTAAACGAACCATGCAAGTAGAAAGCTGATGAGCCTTGGGGCCTGGTCGCTGAAACCTTTAGTGTTTAGGGTTTAGGGTTTAGGGGTTGAGGGGTTTAGGGTTTAGGGTTTAGGGGTTTAGAGGTTTAGGGGTTTAGGGGTCTAGGTGTTTAGGGTTTAGGGTTTAGGGTTCAACCTGCCAGCACCTACTTTTTCTAGGGTCCATATCATGATCCTCCTTGTGCCCTCAAATAGGGGTATATGGTCCCAAATAATGGGTACTTCGGGAATAAAGGGTAGTTGGAGGGTCTAATGGCCAATAATGTCAATCTACGAAAAGTAGGTTATGATAGGTCATAAGGACCCTGAAGTGGGTAGGGGGGAGGGGTCAGGGCTTTAGGACCTAACCCGGCCTATTTAAGGATGTATAGTCCCCTGCCCCCCTCCCCCTTACCCCCCCCCCCCCCAAAGGGTTCCGATGAATAGGTTAAGATATGACCCTCAACCCCACAAACCCCGGTTCAGGGCTTTGGGGTTCCTGTAAAAGTTCCTTTTCACGACCTTTAGCGGTTCAGTTTCGGACTCCTTGAAGAGTTCCCTGTGAGGTTCCTCTATGTGTTCCCGAAGGGTCCCATTGATTGGGATTTCGGGTGGGCCGTAAACCCTAAACCCCCAAACCTTGGGGGGTAGGTGCCAGCCAGGCTTCTAGCTGGAGGACGTTGGAGCTGGCTTCGGATCGACCTGAGTCATAATCGGGGTTTGTCAAGGTCTAGGGTTAAGGCTCCAGGTTTTGTGGAGCAAATCGAAGCCTTTTAAAAGGACTTCCAAAACTCCCGTAAAGATATCCTAAGATTATGTTATGCAGACCCCGTCACGGGTTTAAACAATCGACACCCAACAGGACAACAAGTATTCGACATAAGTCTTAGATCTTGAACGACTCTCTTAACTGGGTTGTGATTGTTGGGGGAGTAGACAGTGCCCGCTACCCTCGCCATTTAGGACTTGAGCCGAACTGTCTAGCTTTCATGAGGGCAATGACAAACGTGAGACGTAATGTAGACCTCTACGTCTGCGATTTAAGTTTCAGCGGTACGCCTACACCCTCAAATATAGTACCTTCTTCTTGGTTACGTCAGGTTCTGATTATAGGATCCTAACCATAAACAAGTTACCCCCAAAAGGTACTACATTCTAGGTTGTAAGGTAGGGATGTTAGGGTTGCCGTTATGCAAGGAATACCAAGAAAACATCAGACCCAGGCTTTCAAACGATTTGCAAAACACCGCCCAGAAACGGTTTCAGCTTAAAGGCTAAAGCTTGGGTTTAGGGTTCACGGTTCAGTCACCCGTATGCAATCGAGCCCTTGAAAACAGGAATGTTCCACATCCACGAGGTATATAGCTTAATCGGTAGTTGTTCTACGGTATATTAGACTAGAATATACTAAGCAGCCCCCAAAATAGTGTAGGTAAGTATTAACGCCCCTATATTAGTTCTTATTGAAGGATTTTGGGTTCTCCGGCTCCAGCACTCATAGAGGCCTGGGGAGCCCTCAGCCGTAAACCCTAAACCCTCTGTACTAAAGTTTGAATAAAGCCTACAGCCTGAAACCTAAACCCTAAACCCTAAACCCTAAACCAAAACCCTAAACCCTAAACCATCAGCCCCAAAGCCTAAAGTCTAAAGCCTAAACTATAAACCCTAAACCCTAAACCCTCAGCCCTAAAGCCTGTAGCCGAAAGCCTAAACCCTAAAATCCCAAAGCCTAAAGCCGAAAGCCTAAAACCCTAAACCCTCAAACTCTAAACCATCAGCCCTGAATTACTAAAGCCTGAAATGCACAACGTATGAGGCCCGCCCCCATCGAGTCGGAAGTTGGAGTCTCTGGGCTACAGACTTTATAAGGGTTTCGAGTTTTAGGGTTTTAGGGTTTAGAAGTTTAGGGTGGTTGGGTGCTAGGGCTTTAGGGTTTTAGGGTGTTAGGGCTTTGGGGTTTAGGGTGTTAGGAGTTCAGGAGTGCAGGGTTTGGGGTTTAGGGTGTTAGGGTGTTAGGACTGTAGGGTTTAGGGTGTTCGGGTTCAGGGTTTAGGGTTTTAGGGCTTCAGGGTGTTAGGGTGTTAGGACTTTAGGGTTTAGGGTGTTCGGGTTCAGGGTTTAGGGTTTTAGGGCTTCAGGGTGTTAGGACTTTAGGGTTTAGGGTTTCGGGGTTTCGGGTTTAGGGTAATGTAGGGGCCTTAATAATTAGAATAGGGTTTTGAAGCATATTATACTATAATGACTATAAGAAGGAACCCCCAAAATCTAATTATTAAGGCCCCTATATTAATCCCCAACACTAAAGGCTGACACTCTAATTTTAAGCCTCACGCAGTAACCTCCGGGCTTCTCGATCTCGACCGTTCGCAAAGCACACGCTCAAGCTCTTCGAAACCATTCCGGGACGCGTGCATGAGAGCAGTCGTGCCGTCCTTGTCCCTGCAGTCTTTATCAGCACCGGCTTTCAGCAGCAACTGCGCAACCTCCAAGTGACCAAACTTCGAAGCGAGCATGAGGGCTGTCTGGCCGCCACCTAAGCTGTTCAGTGACCCACTGGGGAAAAGTCTATGCTTTGCTGGGTTAGTTCTATTACCTTTCAGCCCAGTACCCTGGCCCAAAAAAGTTTAAACTTTTCTTTTAGTAGGGGGTTTAATATACCAACAAGTTTAAAGTTTACCTACTGGGCTCCTAAGATTATGTTAGAAACCGATACCAACAAGTAACAAGGGATACCCCTAAACATCCTGGCCACGATCTGCAGTGTCTTTGGCAGCACCAGCCTCCAGCAGTAAATGCGCAACCTCCTGGAAACCACTCCGTGATGAGTGCATTAAGGCTGTCAGGCCATCAATGTCTGCTCGGTCTTTATCAACACCAGCTTCCTTACTTGCCCAACAAGCCGGGGAAATAAAAGGTTAAACTCTCAGATTACTACTAAATTATAAGAACCCGAAAAAAGATTAAAGGTTGGGTATTGGGGAACTAACCCTTATTAGCATCAAAAAAGCCCCAAAGCCTTACATAATAGGGTCTTTGGGCCCAAAAGCCTTAAACTGTGAGTCCTTTGAGGGCAAGGGTAAGCTTCTAACCCTAAGCCCTAAACCAACTAAGCTTCCAGCAACAAACGCACAATCTCCACGTGGCCACTCCCAGATGCGAGTATCAATGCTGTCTTGCCCCAGCAGCTTCCCCAATCTTTATCCTTAGGGTTTAGGGGTTTAGGGTTTAGGGTTTAGGGTTTAGGGGTTTAGGGTTTAGGGTTTAGGGTTTAGGGGTTTAGGGTTTAGGCCCTGGTCATCCAAAGGGTCGGTGG